AGTATATTAAATAAAATTAAAGATGTTTTAAAAAAAAAATAGACAAAAAAAATTTTTTTTAAATATTTTATTTTGTTAATTTGATTGGTTGACCTAAATTTTATCAGGTTGGGTATAAGCTTGACCTAACCTGATGTTGACCTGAAAATTTATTTGTCTACCTAAACTGAATTTTCAGGTCGGATCAAGTCGGATCACAGGTTGACCTGACCTAATTCAGAGCTCTAAGTTTTCAATATTTAGTATTTCTATTTAATAAATAAAATTTTATAAATTTATTAATATGTGATATCTATTGAATAAAATGATATAAATGATATTGAATTGAAATATTAAATAAAAATAAATAGTTTAAAAGAGAATTGAATATTATTGAAAAAGATAGAAGATTTAAAATGAATTAATTTAATTAACTTATTAACCTAAATGTTATGAATTTGTTATATTATTAATACAATTAAGTTAGTTTTATTAGAAGAAAAATTAAAAAAGAGAAAGTTCTGATCATAATCAATTAGTTAGCATATAATCATTTGATTGAATTAACACTTTATGTAGGCTAACATAAGATTGTTAAAAAAAAAAAAATATTTATTAAAATAAGTCATAAGAAAAAATTATTTAGTTTAAATAATTTTCAGATATTTGCAAAAATATTGGTATGAAAGCTTTACTGAAAAAAAAAGAAACACAAAAAATTAAAATTTTACTTTATAAGCTAAATATGATTTTTTAAACAATTTTGTTAAGAGTTTTCTTACTTTTTACAATATTTAATAAAGAGGAAAATGAAATTAAAACATGAGTAAAAGAAGGTCAAGATAATTAGAAAATTGAAAAATAATAAAAAAATTATTTTTTATTAATCAAATCATACTTTATAGATTGTTGAAGAAATTATGAGAGAAAAAATCTATCAATATAGATTGTTAAATAAGATTTATGTAAGAGTATATTGGTAAATTGTAATAATATATACCATATTTATAAAGTGAAGATAATGTTTAAGAGAAGGTGAAGTTTAGACTTGTTTTTTAATAAGAAATATTAAATAATTAATATTATAAAAACCTGGATAGATACCTTTAATTATTTTAGGAAGGAAAATTAAAATATTAAAATATATCTATTAATGCAAATAGGAGCAAAAGAGATATGTTAAAAAAATATGAAAAATTAAATAAGTAATATTTTTCATAAAGTGACAATAAAAAATAGTATTTTGTAAATTAAAAGGGTAAAATTGTAAAATATTTAAAGAGCCAATATAAAAAATGTACCAAACTTTTACTTAGTAATATTACAATCAAGGACCCAACAAATGCAACGATAACAACAACCATTGAAAGGACCGAAAAGAAAGTGAATAGTTATTTATGCTCTGGAGATTAAAAAGTCGGAATTCTTAGGTGAGGTGAAAGAGTTAGCGAGGCAGTAAGTGCTTCTTTCGTATGAGTGGAACTATTTTTAGATTGTTAGAGTTTCATTCTGGAGTTGACCGTCAATTTGGATCAAATTATGAGAAGGTATATAGGGAGAAGAAGTTACATATGGGATT